TAGCAAATGCCACACAACTAACAGTTGAACAGGGATAATCACACAATTCCATGGCAGTATCTTATGGACTTTGGGGATTCAAAGTTTTGATAGAGGTACTTAAAAAGCCCAGCTAGAGAGGTCTAGTGCCTTGCAAATGCTAAGATTTCAAAGGCTATAGCCATGGTAGTTAAAAGGAAATCATAGTGCTATAATTATGTTGTGTGAAAGGGCCTGAAGTAAAATGTTGTGGTTATTATCTCTGCTGCTAAACAGCATAATCAGTGGGTCAATTCAAGGGTTTCACTTGTTTGGCATCCTTGTACCATCTGCAAATTCTCCCTCAGAACATGCTTCTGCTTTCACTAAATTGAACAGCTGAATTCCCAGTGTATTACTTGAGGGGTAATAAATTTGTTAAAATCATGGAAAGCAAACCTGCCTCAGAGAGTACAGAACAGAGCACTTTCTATGGCCTCTATTACTATTCAGAATAATCGAGGAACAGGAAATGGATTTCAGTTTCTGGTAAAAGCAGAGCAGTCAGTATCTTAAGCAAACACCTAAGGGGTTTGGGGACAGGGATGAATGGCTGGTGATAAGACTGGCTGATACAAAGGAGCATTTGCATCATCACATACAAAAAGGGCTGTGAAGCTCTTACTGTTGTTATCATTGTATGCTTTCAAATTGTTTCCAACTAATAGAGTCCTTAAAGTGAACCTATTGTAGGGTTTTCTTGGAGTGACAGTGTGATTCACCCAATGTCACCCAGTGGATTTGTATGGCTGAGTGGGCCACCAAAACTTTATCTCCAAAGTCACAGTCCAATGCTTAGATCATTACACCATGCAGACTATCCAAGATCTAATTAGAATAATTCAAAAAATATCACTCATATGACCTCTTCACATAGGCTACCGAAATCACCACACACCCAGCGACTGCCATTGGGGGGCATGGGGAACCCGTCGCTCCACACCCTGCATTTCCCGGTTTACCAGGAAGCTGATCCGATGGAAGCATCGGTTTACCATGAAGCATCAACAAGGGCTCTGTGGGTCAATTAGCTCTCCGCTAATTGATCCCCAGATCCCTACCAGACGTTCTTCTGCATCATGAGATGGGAACTGACAGGCTCCATGGGTCAACTAGGGCTGATCCAGCATATGCAGCCAAAGTAAGCCCTGTCTGATGAGGTCAATAGTCTCTTTGTGACTCACTGTTGGTTCTCCACTTTCTTCAGATTAATCTCTCAGAGTGAATGTGGCCACAATTTCACAAAATACCGTGCTCTGTTTGAAGGAATATCCAGTCTACATCTGTTGATAGATGGATGGATGGATGGATGGATGGATGGATGGATGGATGGTATGAAAACCCAGTAAGTGACTTCAGGCAAATTGCACTCAAACTCGGGGCATAGCCGTGACAAAACCACTATGAACAAATATTGCTAAGTAAACTCTGAGATAAATTCACCTGAGAGTACCATAAGTTGAACACAACTTGAAGGCACACAACAACAAAAGCAGAAGTTGCAGCAGCAACAAGAATAACAAGAAAGCAGAAGTATTGAATTTGCAACAGAAGTGAGTGGTCTCGCGAAGCTCTCTTATAAGGCCAGGGCTTATTAAATATGGCTTTCTGTGGGCGAGCAGATGGCGACTACTGGATGACATATGTTCGGTATCAGAAACTAGAGCTGATGTGGTCTTATTGTTTTGAAACCCAAGAAGTCTGCAGTGTGATAATTGATCTGGAAGCCTCAAGTACTCCGTGCATGACCCAGGGGCATCACTCTGACAATCTATCCAATGCACTTTTATGAATCAGCACCCCAAATAACCAAACCGAATTTAAAGTTGACCAAAAACTGATGCATAACCCTTTTGGTACTAATATCGGAGAGTGATCCCTGGTCAAAGTGGTCCCTGGTCAAATGATCCCTGGTCAAATTGGTCCCTGGTCAAATGGTCCCTGGTCAAAAAAAAAAAGGTTGGTAACCACTGATCTAAGGAGTTTGCTTATTTATTTTTTTCGCGGGTTGCTAGGGGGTCTGCTTTCACTGTTACATATTAGTACTAATTCTAGAAGGGAGGGAGTGTTTGAGGATTTTATTTCCATTTCTGATGGGATCCCTCTCTGAGAGCAGCTAAGTTCCCTTCCATATTGTGGATGTCATTCCTACTCTTTGTGAGCCAAATTTGCTTCATCTTTTTGTAGGAGAGGTTACCTTGGTTTGTCATGGCTCCTGGAAGAAAGAATAGCAAGGTAAAGCAGTTGGGCCAATAGGTTCCATAGATGGGCAGTGATTCGTCTCTTTGTGGGTGGATCTCAGTAGTTTAAGCCATGTGATATATATGCAAACAACATACAGCAGACTACTCCTATGATCTTATGGCTATAAACAGGAGTTGCAATTTCAGATGTTGTATTAAAGCAAAAGAAGAAGAAGACCCCTTTTGCTTATTGTTTCAGGAGTTTCTTCAAAGACGGAGCAGGAGAGAAATCCCTAGACTTATAAAAATTTCATACTATATATGTATAGCATGTTGATACCACTTCAATTGCAACGGCTGTGGCCTATAGAATAATAAGATTTATAATCTGATGAGGACTAGAGCTCCCTGGCAGAGAATTCAAAACACCTCATGTAACCTTTTTAGAGGTGATTCATAATGAGTTCTTACATATCCTTCAAGTTTACATAAAATATTCCGTATCTGCTTTCATTTATTATAATCTCCCAGCTCTGCTGCTCATCATCTCAAGATATGAAGGACTCAGATTTTATACTGCCTGAAGTTCTTTCGGTGAAATCTTTATCGGCGTGATTCAGACTTTACAACAGCATTCATAAGCAATGATGAGGAGCTTACTAGACTAGATATGGAAGCTGATAGCTTGTTGTCTTGCTAATCATGATCTCTGATTGTGCAGGCACGCCCCATTATCTGCCAACATTATCTATTCACTATCCTCCCCCGACTGTTTTCACATAATGAAGTTATCACCCCTAGAAATGACTGCCTGTCTTAACACTGTACAGCACTGCTCTCTATATAAGTGTGCCTCATGATTGCATTAGTCATACAAATAATGAATTTGGCTGAGCTCAAAGCAACCAATTTACATGTCAGGGAATAAAATCTAGGCAGCAATCTTATACCCACTGAGCAAGGGGATTTATTTCTGAGCACACCTCTACAGCACAGATGTGGGATTGGTTTCCCCACTATGCCTGTGTGAGTCAAATGACATCAGGATAGCCATGCTATCTGACACCCTAGGCAAAGCACTAGGGAATATTTTCCCAAACTTGAGTTCTACTCTTTCTACCTGTCATGCCCCATGAAGATCCTTGCTGTTTACCCCCAGTTAAGCCTTTTTTCATTAGAGGGAGCTGTCCAGTCCAGGTTAAATATTGAGGCAATCTTAGAAACAGTTGAATACCACACAAAAAAGAGACAATAAGAAGAAATAAAGATTCAAGAACCTCATTTCGGCCGGTACTGTGTCTATCTCTCAAGGACTTTACTCATAAATACTTTGTAGTGAGATTCCGGAGGAGAGAAAGTCTAAAATTCTTTTCAGTTAATAAACTCTTATTCAACCATATAGTCTCCAATCTGTTCCCTGCACAGCCAGTTCACCTTCCAAGTAGTTAAGATAGCATGGGGGCAGAACACTACCCAAGTACTCTAAGGTAGTGTCTTTGTGTGATATGTGATGTTATTTTATGTGATGTGTTTAATAATGTTTTATCAGGGGAGGGTCAATTTTGATATTTTATACTGTTTTCATCGATGGCATTGGATTATTGCCAACACTGTGAACCACCCTGAGTCCCCTTCAAGGTTGAGAAGGGCAGTATACAAATAATGCAAATAAACAAATAAGCGCTCAACTCACTGCTCATGATATATGATCCACTGACAATGGCACCATCCATCATGCAGGTGAAGAGTAGGAATTGATGACTAATGCAATTTTTAATATAAATTTACAGATTTCTACAGGATTGAAAAAAAATGTCCAAACTGGATGTGGAGAAAACCAACATGGATTTGTCCAGCCATATCCAGGACTTAATTCTGAAAAGTCTCGCTGTGAATCCCTGCTTATTTGACTAAGTCAATGCTAAATTGAGCATTCATAAGTGGTGGTTTTATTAATCTGTTGTAGCAAAAACAAGAGGAAAATGTTGGTGGTTCCTTCAAAGATAAGCACAATTCATTTGGCATAATTTTTCAGTTGGGAAAATGAATTAGCGTTCACAAACTCTTAAGCCAGATGAGGCTCTTTGCGGGTATTAAACATGAGACTCAATGGCAGACTGGTCCAACATGATCCTCTCCATTTTCAGATTTTTTTATTTAGTTTAACTATATGTTTATTTTGTAATTTATTTGATTTACAGTCTACCTTTCTCCCAGTCTAGTACTTGAGGCAGAAGTGATAATCTGCCTTCTAAAATAAGTTACTGAATAAATTCAGAGTGTTGGGAATTAAGGTGTTTAGGAAAGTGTGTGGATTAAGAAAAGGGTTCTTAATGAATAGACATGCAGAAATTCTAGAAGAATCCTGCAGTAAAAATAATGAAAAGTTGCCCTTTTCAGTACCAAAACTGAAACCAAAACCAAAAAAAATCTGTACCAAAAACAGCAAGTAGAAATGCTATTTAAAATGTAAGAGTCAATCATTCTTTGTTGTTCAATGGATGCAAATCTTCTCTTACTTCAACATGAGTGTTTCACAAGTCAACAACAAACACGTGGGTCACTTATTAAATCTGAAAACATGACAAACAGGATGACTTATTCAGCATGGTAACATGCTTAATAACTGCATATGAAGAACAAATATATCTAAGAAGATCAATTTTAAATCTTCTCAGTCACATATCAGAACCCAGTAATAATTCATTCCCCTGAATGCCAACAAAATTGGTGAACACGCCAGAGGTCAACCCTCTCTTAAGGGCTAAAGTCAATATTTAACTGAGCCACAAGAGCAGAGCTCAGGATGGATTTCTACTCATCTTGCTTCTGTTGTGCATCCAGAAAATGTGTCTTGGGAGAAAGGCAGTAAGTGCAATTGTCTCTTTATTAAATCCTCAAAGTATGCTGGTGAGGGAAGAGTAATTGGAAAAAATAAATAAACAGGGAGTTTAAAACATTGTTATATGATAGTCCTGATCTACACGGAAGACCCACATGCCTAATTATAGGCACTAGCCGAGTGTCCATGTAGGACTTCGTCATACTGACTGCCAGAATAGCCACACATTGTGGCGAATCCGATAGTGCCCGGTGGGGAGGAACCTTTTGCCCCATGCCCCGACTTCTCCCCTACCTCATCCCACAGGGGGAAGCATCTACCGCCTAGCTTTCCCCCATTGATTTCTATGTAACACGGGAAGTAGCTCTACTTTCCATCACAAAAGGGAAGGCAAATTCGCATATATCGCCAAAAAAGTACCCTGCCTGATGAGATTGCAAGTCTTGCAGGGTGAAAGCAACAGGATTTTGTTTTCATGAGCAAGGTTGAATATGGCATCTGCCATTTCAAACTTCCCTGTTCCCTTTGACTTTATATAATTTTCAAAATAGCTTCAAGTAAACCTATTCTCACAATAAAATATGTTGTTCTGAATTGTGTTGTTATGGCTTGGTCTTGGATAGGAAATTAAAGCATGGGGGGGTTAAGACTTTTTGGATAGATCTCACAGATGTGGATCAAAACAAAGCTCATCTGCATTATTGGCCTTTCCATGGAGGTGTGGTGCTACGCAACCTGTCATGATGAATACCTGGATATCAAAATATATGACTGCATTACTGCTTTTAAGTAAAAAGTGGTTGAGCTACACATTACATATTCATGTATTTACTTACTTGTGTACTACCTTACCTTATGAATTAGATGTGTTCCTGGGCATTAATTTTTAAACAAGGAAAAACGGTGCAAGAAGCAACAAAATGTGGTGTCATAAAGCACCACAAAAGGAAGAGTAATTCTACATGTTTCATCCAAGTGAATACGCAGATAGGTAATGAAACTATCAGGTTCAAACGGAATATTTTGAAACTTCTCAAAAGCTTCTTCCAAGTGTAGCCACAGATTACCCTTTTTCTTTCACCGTTTTCCACTTTTCTGATGATATTCATTTTAGTAGCCAAACTTACACATCTATACATTGTTAACATACTGCAGGAAACTAGTAAGACAGACTTACCTGCTCTGCCATTTTCCCTCTCTTTAGCTGTTCATGCATGCTCAGTAAGGGAGTCTGGAGGAAGCTGCTTTTTATGTTGCCTGTTGTAGACAGGTAAATGATGCTGTAGTAGAATCACCTAGAATTACAGTGTCCTCTCGCTACTTCATGGTTTGCTTATTGCGGACTCGCTGTTTTGCGGGTTTTTTTCTTCCCCTTCTTATACTTTATTTTCCTTCTTATACTTTCTATGATGTTCCTCACAAAGCAAGAACAACACTAATTTCCTTTTCTGGAGATCCGGGGGGGGAGGAGGAAGAGGAGGAGGAGGGGAGGAGGGGGAGCCAGGTGCTGGGCCTTACCCTGGGGTGTGTCTCTGGGCTGGGCCTTAGTGTGGCCCTCTTTGGCTTGGCCCTCTTCCACTGCGGCCCTCTTCCCCACTCCTTCCTCGGAGGCCCCTTGGGCACCGTTGACACCTCTGCCAGACTGGGCTGAAGCGTGGTCTTCTATGCTCGGCACTGAGGCCTCAGCCCAGCCTGGCAGTGGTGTCAATGGCGCCCAAGGGGCCTCCGAGGAAGGAGTGGGGAGCAGCGGAGGTGGCAAGGAGGAGGAGGCCACCACCGGAGGGCTGTGCTGAGGCCCAGCCCGGAGACAAGCCCCAGGGTAAGGGCTAGTGCCTGGCTCCCCCTCCCCTCCTCCTGCTCCTCCTCCTCCTTCCCTCCTCCCCCGTGGCTCCCCGGAAAAGGAAATTAGTGTCGTTTTTTCTTTGTGAGATACATGCATAGAAAGTATAAGAAGGAAAGGGAAATCCTACTTCACGGATTTTCACATATCACGGGTGGTCCTGGAATGTAACACCTGTGATAAGTGAGGGAACACTGTATGCTCTTTCTCAACTCAAGCTTTATTGTTTTGTTTACAACAGACATAATGCAACCTAAGACCAAGCAGTGTTTCTCCACCCCATTTTCACCACCCTCTCATTAAAAAATACCCTTGAGGCTAGGCAGAGGAATAAAAGGGGGCTGAGTAGATCTTTTAAAAAGAAGCTTTGTAAAAAGAAGCTTCTATTCTTGTTATCTTCAGTTAACAAGCGGCTTCATTAACTGAGATATGTAATTTTTTATCTCGCCTTCCTCCGAAATGAGATCAAAGGTGGCTCACGTCATGAATGAAAACGAAGTGTTACTACCGATAATGATGTTTTAAAAATTAAATAAGTGACCATAAAAAGTGTCAATGCTTTACAACAATATACAATCATTAAAAACATTGGAATAACAATAAAGGTGCAGTACACATAGCCCATTAAATACCTTTCTACACTGACATGAAGTAATCAAATGCCTATCCAAATGAAAAGGTCTTTACCTACACTGGAAGGAGAGCAGGGCAGGGGAAAGAGCCTCTTGTGGAGAGAGTTCCCCAGCCAAGAAGCAAGCCACAAAATAGGCTCAGGTGATATATAAAATATCATAAGTGTATAGATTTGCATTTTGATGTTCCAGTTTTAATGTATCAAGCAGTGTTAGCTCTTTCTTCAGAGCAGATAATAGTTATTTAGGAAGCGGAGGTGGGAGGGGGGATGAGAGCAATATAGGCATGTAAATCCCCATCCTCTTTCACAAGGATTAATAACACTATGTAACAAAATTTGGGGGAAAATCTGTTCCTGGTTTGAAAGTGTTTAATTGTGTGGTTGAATTGGTTGAGACTCAGTGAGATATTCAATGAAAAATTACAGCAAAATGTACTGCAGGATGATAAACTTTTCCCCTGTTTTTATGATAGAACCAATTAGGAAATAACATTTATAGCTCAGGAACATAAATCATATTATATAGTGTAATTAGTTTTCTACCTGCTATGGAAGAAAATAAATTGCTCAGCACATTATGCAAGAATCAGGATCTCATCACACTGATTATTATTGGTATTATTTTTATATTTGTTTATACCCTGTTTTATCACTCCTGAAGGGGACTCAAAGCGGCGTAACATAAAAGCATTAGTACATAATTTAAAATATACAAGTATACAAACAATGAAATAGAATTAAATATAAGGTAAAGGTTTCCCCTTGACATTAAGTTTAGTTGTGTCCAACTCTGAGGAGGGGGGGGGGTGCACATCTCCATTTCTAAGCCAAAGAGCCAACATTGTCCATAAATGCCTCCAAGGTCATGTGGCCGGCATGACTGCATAAAGCACCATTACCTTCCCACCAGAGCAGTACCTATTCATCTATTCACATTTGCATGTTTTCGAACTACTAGGTTGGCAGAAGCTGGGACTAACGGCAGAACCTAACACCGCTCCCCAGATTTGAACCACCAACCTTTCAGTCAGCAAGTTCAGCAACTCAGTAGTTTAACCCATTGCACCACCGGGAGCTTCTGAATTAAATATGAACAGTATTAAAAATCATTCAAACACATTCAATGTATATTCAAAGTGAAAACCAAAGCACTCCTTGAATTGATCTTTAAAATCTTTGAAAGCCTGTCCAAATAAAAAAGGTTGATGAAGTCCTCCAGATCAATTTGCCACCCAGCAGGGCAGCAGGGTAATTCCAACACCTCTCCCTCCACTTCGTCGGCAGTTGACAATTCCCCATCACACATGAGGAAGCGTCACCATGTGGCTTCTCCCCGTGGTGGTCTCGTTGTTCCAAATTGAACACATGGAGGCTCCAATGGTGATGGTTCAGCATCATAGGATGCTGTTGCCCCAGTTGAGTGACAGAGCTGTGTGATGGGCAATGTGGAGCTCCATGGCTAAACTGGAGCAGAAGGATCCTAGGATGCTCAAATTTCCTCCTGTTACGAGGTTGTCAGTCTATGGATAAAAGTCTTTTTTGCACAGAAAACATTTCCATGCAGAAAACAGGTTTCCAGTACAGGAAACCATGTTTTTGGTGCAGAGCACTCAGATTTTTTTTTTCTCAGTAGAATAATTTCTATGCAACCCTTTAAAATGTTAAATGTCAAGGGGAAAATTTTCAGAATTAATACTGCTATACTATTTCTCCTTAAGAAGGTATTGATTGTTGAAAAACTCATTTTTCAACCTGGAGACAAATGCTAACAAATAGCCTTTTCATCTTTAAGATAGGATCCACCTGAATGGCTCAAATTGGCCTCGCTACAAGTTCGGATCCCGACCCCTTTCTTTTTGGAAATTGATCTTTTGAAGACATTCATGCCACATGTGGAATGGACTTGCAACACCATTTCTGCTTTGTTGATTATTTCCCAAACTGCAAAACTATCCTTGTTTTCCAAATAGAGAGTAAGAGCAAAGTAAACTTACTGTAGGACACATCATCTTGTTGTGTTAGGTAAATGAAATGTGAATTCTGGAGAAAGAGAAACGTGAGAACCTAACAATTTTTCTTCCGCATTTAGGCCAATATTCTGAACTTCCTGACACATAATACCTCTGTGGTCAGGAGAAGCAATGTGGTTGCTGCTCAACAGAGTGCCAGGTAATGGATGTTTTCTCTCATCAGGGTGTAACCAGTAGAGTTGATGGTTATCAACACCTCACCCACTTTTCCCAAATAACAACCGTCTTGATTATACTGAGCAATAATCCTCTCAGAAGAAACAACATATTAATATGAATTTCACACCTGTAGCAAGCACTTGTACATTTGTACTTACAACTGACTTTCTGGAGTGCTCCAAGCATTTCACCAACATGATTATCTCAATAAACTTTACAACATAATTGTAGGTGTGAAGAAAATCACCTGGATTTTTAAAGTGAGATCAATGAAACTGTCCTGCTCTTCTGAATGTGTTTGCTTGGTGGGGCAAGCAGGGAGGTGTATGCAAACACACGTATCATTTCCTTTGTTAGATGAAATCTGCCATGTAGCCAGACACCTACACAATCCTTACCTTTTTCATTCTGTTGGCTAAATTATGTGAATAATTGTGATTCTGGAGTAATTGTTGGAAAGTATTAAATAGATTTTTTTCAAACACATTCTACATTACTTCTTCAAAGGTAAGTGTTATCTCACTAACCAGTTAAAGTTCTTTGAAATTGCCGATAAGCAAATTGACAGGAGTGATCTGATAGATAGTGTTTACTTGGACTTCCCATTTTTGATGAACTGCCTTACCTAAAGTTATAGGAGAAATTATTTTGCATTTTGGGGTGGTAGGAAGATGAAGAATATAGAGAGTAAGGAGAAATAATCCATTCTTGGCAAGAGGAACATGAGCACTATGGTCTTCAGGGCTGGGATGTTTAGCAATTTGGAACCAGTACTTTCTAACATATGGAAAGGTAAATGGCACTCCATGCAATCATACTGACCACATGACCTTGGAGGTGTCTACGGACAATGCAGACTCTTCAGCTTAGAAATGGAAATGAAAACCACTCCCAGAGCTGGAGATGAGTACCACCCGCCCAGAGCCGAAGATGAAAAGGAGAAGCCTTTATCTTTATCTGTCATTGTTTCTAGGCACTGAATTTTTGCCTTTGTGTCTGTATATGCTGGAATCCACCCTGAGTCCCCTCAGGGAGATAGGGCGGAATACAAATAAATTATTATTATTATTATTATTATTATTATTATTATTATGCATTTTTTGTGATTGGAATGGATAATGTGATGAAATTGGATTGCTTCGGGTGGTAAGAAAACAAATGAATCAAGGCATGTACCACTGTGGCCAGATCTGACTACTCCAGGAACTGGCACAGTTGGCGCCCAAGCTTTAATCATGCAAAAGCATTCCTGGTCACTGCTGATACCTTGGCCTCTAGGTTCAGAGCCAAATCCAGCAGTACTCCCAAATTGTGGGACTGCATTTTCAGGGAGTGTGATCCCATCTAACACAGACTGACTCCCTATTCCCAGATATGTCTGGATTAAGGCACTGGTCTAGCACAGGAACTGCTTCCTTGGAATTAGGTGGAAAGGAATAATAGAGTTGGATGTCATCTGTGTATAGATGACACTGCACTCCAAAACACTGGATGACCTCTCCCAGCAGATGCATGTTGAACAGCATTGGAGATAGCACAGAGTCCTGAGGGACCCCAAAATTCAATGGCCAAGGAGTCAAACAGAACCCCCCCAGCACCGTTTTATGAGACTGTCCCTTTCCAGGAAGGAATGGAGCCACTGAAGAAGAGCACCTCCAAACTTCATCCCAGAAAGGCAACAGAGAAGGCTGATGGTATCGGAAGCCGCTATTTCTACTAAGACATTTGTGTGACATTCTTTTCTGCTGAGATGGGGCTATGATGGGTCCCACAGCATTTTGATACATGTGTGGAACTGACCAGAATATAGTGAAAGAGGTCTATGTTCTATAAAAGCACTTAGAAATATTGTGACCTGGGACAGAAGGCTGAATCCTCCTTTTTACACCAGCGCGTCCCTCTTGTTTAAGTTGCCTTTTTGATAAAAAGAAAAACATACAAAACCAGGAAATAACAGATATAAGACATATAAAAACAGATATTAAAATCCATTTTTAAATATATAAAAAGAAATACCTCATTCTAGGTCCTTATAAGTCATTTTTGTGTGTTCTTGTTCCTCTTCTGCATTTTTCCCTATTTTGAAAAGCCTTTATATAAACAGCTGCAATAACTATGAAGAACGGGGAGGGATCCCTAACCTCTATAAGTCTACTCAGGCCTCCATTATTTGTGCATGAGGGAAAAATAAACATGTTAAAAAGCAAATTAAAAGTACAAATATAAAGTTACTGTACAAATATACAGTTACTGTGAAAGAAGAGAGGAAAGAAATGACATATAGAGAAGATGTAGGTTCCCCTTTTGAACACTGCAATAAGGGGAATAAAGAGAGGCACTGAATCCTTCCCCCTCCATGGCTTCTTGGACTATGAAAAGAGGTTCTGAAAATGCACGTCATAATCCGTTCACCTTCAAATTCAAAAAGTATTGTGCCACTTTCATGTCATGGCCTTTTCAAATTCCCATGGCTAGCAACTATTGGAGATAATCTTGGCAGACCCTCAGCTGTGTCCAGCCAGGCTCTTCTAAGTTTCTTCTTACTTAATGCCTCTCTGAACTCTAAGTACAGGCAGTTTATAAAACACTTTAGATCTGCCTTCAGGAGTTTATCTACAGACACCTGAACCGCCATAAAGTAAGTAATCAATGATTATCAAAAGCAGAGCTCCACACCTAACTGTGCAATCAAACAAGTACCTAAGACCAAAGGACTGGCCAAGTTGTAAAGTACAAAAGGGTGTGGGGTTCATGTAAGACGAAGTCATCATTTCTCCTTGAAGGGCCTACATATAGAAAGAGGAAGGATTTCTTCAGATGTAAGCAACTTTGTAGAAATATACAGTGGTCAACCAAATCTAAAGAGGGAAGTTACAAGAACTTTAGAACTGCTTGCAGGATGGTCATTTGATTTTAATAATTTAGTTTCTTGCGAAATGCTGTCCTTGATTTTGGCTCTTCCCCTAATCACAGAGCTCTATACCAAGCAAAAGATTGTTATTGTAATTTAATAATACAGGCTGCTGCACTAATTTTAAGGATTATAAAGGCTTTTTAGACTCTTTGGAGTGAGTGATGGCTCCTATATTTCTAGAGTACACAATGCCAAATCAAGTGATTACTTTACCACACATGGCAGAAAGCCTAACAAGTTATCTTATTATCCCTAACAATAGAATCTAAGAATAACAAAACAGATTCTGTACATGTCAATCTCATGTATAAGTCAAAGGCACAATTTTGGATTTTGATATGACCCATGGATAAATCGAAGGCCATTCCAGATAGAAAAGAAACTAACAATGTAATCGCAGGAGGGCCAGCCACTCCTGGCCACCTCCAGTTTCCCTCTCAGGGATTCAGAAAGGTAAGAAGTGGAACCACAGTTGAGAGTAGAGCAAATCAAAATGTCTTTCAGCTTTTCCTAGGATGAACTAAACTCTTGCTTGTACTATTCTACTCAGAGAAGGCATTGACCCATTGACCTAGGGTTTTTTGATTGATTCTTTGATGGAAATTTCTAGACTAATAGATGAGTATATAGGGTAACTAGGAATTTGTCATTAAAATCTGCTGCAAGAATCAGATATGGATGTAAAATATGCAGTATAGTCACCTCTAGGTTATTATAGGTATACAGATAGCACATAAGTGTGGACATCTTGAAATACTTGGATTTTTCTGAGTGGTTGTCAGATTGTGGTTCAATTATCTGGGAAGATTTTGTTTTATAAAAATAAAAAAGGAAAGTTACACATATTGAAGCTGAGATTCAGCCACCCACCAAAGGAGCAAGCTGAGAGTCCAGTACCCATGTGACCCACTACCTTGAAGACTGGTTCAACATGCAAACTGAGTTTGAAGGCAACAGGAACAGAGGTTTATGGCTTTCAGGCCTGAAAGGATGTCTGATACAAAGTCTGTACTCACAAACATCAATCATAGTATGCAGTACTGTATAAGACTTTTATTCTATTTGACAGCCATTCAAAGTCCCCGTGCCCTCTCTTGATTGGTCAGAAAGCCAGTCCAGACAGGATCTGGGTTTTTGTTGGCTGGAGAATCCTCATGACATCAAAGGTGGACAGAGTCTCCTCAATGGTGAGAAAAATTAACAGCTGACATTTGCTAGTTTGAAAACAGAGTTGATCAGAAGGTCCACCCTGGAAAGGGGCAGACAGCCCAAAATGTGTTGAGGCAATATGTAAAACAGTCCATGATGAGATGCAAACCAAGTCCGGTTTGCACAAAAGGTGAGTCTCAGAGAACACAATGGGCTGTTATGTAAATATGAATAGTTCCATATAAGGCATACAGATTTAATCTATATGCTTCTGATGTCTGGCGGCAGCTCATCTCCAGATTCCTCCGGGAGATTGAAATCATTATTTGATAGAACTAACTTTTTCCAGCTGGCATTGACACCTCCTGATGGACCCACCTCACAGCGGCAGGGAGCCAGAAAAGCCCACAGGGACACACACAAGTATGACATATTTTGAAGTTTTTCCAAAAAGCAAGTGTTGCATACTGTAAATGCAGAAATTATTCCCCGCTCCAGCAAATCTTAGTTTTTTTAAAAAATAAAACATATATGTAAAAGATATATGTGAAGGTTTCCAAAAGCTTATAACCATGTAAGTGTCATAAACATATATGTGAAGGTTTCCAAAAGCTTATAACCCTGTAAGTGTCATAAAAGAAGACAGTTGTATAGTTATGAGGCACAGAGCAAAACTCCTTTTGTTAGATATGTAGATATGGTTTTTGTCTGGGATTAGTGGGCACACATTTCCTCCTCAAGTGTTATATTGATGAAAAGTTAAGTAATCCCCTTTGGAATGTGTCGTTTCCTGGAAATGAAGTTCATTGCAGGGAGAGGGAATACGATTGTTTCAATATTGTGAAACTTCATAAAGTGTAAAAATTATAATAAAATTTATATTTGATTTTGGAATTCATGTTGAGTTTTTTTGGGGGGGAGGGATTTTACAACAACAATATCCTTCCAACATGCCCTCTCACTCTCATCATTTTAAAAAAGTACAGTAAAATTTATTAAGTTTCATAAGGCTGCAAAACATTACCTCCACATTTGCAACAATGAATATATCCCATAATTTCAAGTGTTTGCTTGTTTGGTAAGCTGTACAAATCATCATGCATTATCACAAAACCAGGAATATTATCTCATGGGACCAAAAGAAAAGGTGCAGTAAGATCTTGGGCCCACTTTATAAAGAAAGCATCAGGAAAATTCCCATAGTGTATAATAAAGAACACCACCCTAACAGTTATTATGTTGGAATCTGAATTAAAATTCACCCATAGAAATAGTGCACATTAATGATGTATGTAACTGTTCCCCAGCTAATATATTTGGACTGCAATTCTCATAACACACTACCATTGTGTATGCTGGCCAGGGATATTCCAAAAAAGAGTCAGCATTCTGTAGTGGTTTGGATGTTAGATTTAGGGCATGTCAACACTGGCCAGTTAAGCCCTTGAGATGACCACATGCACCATTGCAGGTCAAAGTCCAGAACTATACAGCTGGGCCAAGACCAGCTAAGTACCATATAACGTGATACTTAGCTGCATGAATCTGCAATACATACTAGGACTGTAGAAATCTCATGAAGATAGCCAGGATCCAACAAAAGGTGATTATGAGTTATTAGGCTAGTAGATGAGTTCTTTGACACTGGGAGAACAGGGTTTAAAACCCTCCTCAACCACGGAAACCCATTGGGTTACCTTGGACAAGTCACAGCAGGTTGGACTAGATGGCCCTTGTGGTCTAGTCTAACTCTATAATTCTACATTTCTTTGGCCACAGAGAAAGGAAAGGGAAAATTCTCTCTGAACAAATGTGAGAAAAATGCTGCGATGGGTTCCTCATAATTTGGAAATTACTTGAAAACACATAGCAACAACAAATGGCAACAACATCTGGATAGACTTAATCCCACCCAGTACAGTCAAATCTATTTTAAAAGTTATAAAACTATTACAATATGTGTCAAAGGAGATTAATTGTAGCAATTTTAAAGGAAACAGTCTAATTTCTCACTAGTGTCTATTAACTCTTACTAGTTCACAACTTTTTTTCAGATCAGGGGACATTCCACAATTAACTGTACCAACTATCTGAAATTAAACCTGTATCATATCCATACTTGGTCCAAGTTTGCTGGTTGACCTACATTACCAGCTGCACATAATAATTACCATCATGAGGTTTTTTCTTCAACACACACACACACACACACACGGTCCTGCTACAACTTACTGTAACAGGAAGAACACATACACATGTATACACATGTGTGAAATGTGGAAGGATGCATACACACATATACCAATACATGTGAAATTGGGAAGGATACATACACACATGCATACACAGATGTGTGAAATGTGGAAGGATGCATACACACACACACATGCACGTGAAATGTGGAAGGATACATATGCACACACTGCAGCAGGGTTTCAAAATAGACCGGCCACCCTTTCTCATGAATTGCTCATTTCCTCTTCATCCCCAGCCCGGATCTGTGACTTTTTGACCCCATCTGCAGCTTTTTTTGAACCTCAGGAGGTCTGAGAAACAGTGGCTGCTGCCTGCTTGATTGAGGAAAAGTGGTCTGCTGTTACCTAAACCAATTCTTCTCCTCTGTTTGGCATCCGTTCTTGTTAAGCTTGGTCTGACTGAGCTTAAACATCATTGCTGCCAAAGAGATCAGCTGGCAAAGAAGTCCGCATTAGTAATGCAGCTGGCTCTTTGCCTCCAGCCGCTGAGATCACTTATTTTTTTTCCACTGGTCCGCTAGACAGAGGAGCCTACATTCTTAGACCACCACTTCTTCTACATTTGACTCCTTCCTTTATGTATTTATGCCTATCCTCTCAGAAAATAAATAGCTATAGATGATTTCCTTCCTTATTTTTCTACAGACCTGCACACATACACAGTTTCCTTTTATCTATTGATACTATAAAAGGATTGAAATTCACCAAGCATCTGTGTCCTCATTCCACTTGTAAATCTCCTGCTGGCTGGCTCTGACATCCGTTTGCAAGCTTTAACAACAAGTCCCTTGCGCTGATGTATATTTATTGAATTAATAGTTTTGAACTGATACTGTTGTGGATGCTAGGAGATCTTGCTTCCTTTGTTAAGACTGATGGTCCCTGGAACATGGCCTGGAATGAGTTTCCTCTGCTGCCAGATTGTGGCACCCTTCAAGATACAGGGGGAAAAAACATTTTTCAGACTGGATTTCAAAAGAGGAGAGAAGAGAAGGAGAGGAAGCCGTGTCCTGATTGAATGTAACATACTTCAAGTTTCATGGGCTCTTTCTGGAAACTGATTCTGGATTAGAGTATTTGTAGGCTGCTGCAAGGCTCTTGGTTCACTTCCAGTCCACCCTGCTTGTGTATTTATAAGCACAACAGATCTTACGAAGGCACCAAAGATCTCCAATGCTCTCTCGTCCAAAGAAAACTGACCTTATAGCACTGATGCTGGAAATATTCACTACTCACGGAGAAAGAACAATAGCAACCATGCTGCATAGTTTTCAGCAAAGTGGACAAATATCTGCAGAAGATTTTATTTCCTGTATCTACTCAGACTCCCCAAGTTTATGTAATAGGTGACTGTGATCGTTCTAGCCCTCCACAGTGACTCAGACCTTTTGAGGCCAGTGGCAGAATGAGTCAACAAGGGGGTGGTGGATAGAAGAAGCCGCAGAGAGATTCATGCCTATAGGAGGATGCTAGGGAGGGGGAAACAGCTGCCAGACTGACTTGTTATATCAGATCAGTGTCTGATGAGAAAGCCTTGACTGTTCTTGACCTAGTATTTGGGTGACTTCTTATTTTGCAAATGTTTGGTTTTTTTTCATGAAGTCGCCTTGATTTCGTCATCAGATACATGCATTATCCCACAGGTTTTAAACAAAATAAAACAAAACTCTGCAGTTACATTGGCTATATGTAGATGTGTTTTTCACATAGAGGCAAATCAGATCCACACTGGTTGAGAAACTGTGGGATTCACTAAAGCTTCATAATGCTATTTCTGAGGGACTACAACTTTTCTAACCAACCTGAGATGTACTGCAGAAACATTCCGAAGAGATGTTCTCTCTGGATCATCCTGGAACACACCACTTCTAGTTTTAGAAGGATTGTCTCTTCCCACAATCAAAGCTCTTCACCAAAATGAGTGAGATGGATGGCTATGTAAGAGGGTCTTTCCAGTGGTGTCGCACTCTTTTTGGAATGCCTTATTTTGACAGGTATGCTGTGCACCTATGCTGGGGTCTTTACAATACCAAGTGAAGACCTTTGTATTCTCTCAAACATTTTAAGACTCATTTTGCTTCTTTCCAACTGTTAATACTTTTTTAGTTTGCTGCTAATTTTATTTCTGCTTTATATACTCTGTTGTGTGGGATTTCAAAAT